AAAATAAAAGCACTATATTCTTAGATTTATAATAAAATGAGTCTTTGTTTTACTAGCTATTTCCTGGATTCGCTTTATGGATTCAATAAATGATTTTAAGCATGCAGATTCTAATGTTGCCAGAAGAGAGCAAAATAGTAAACACTGATGGCAACATTTAACAGTAAACTTCAAAAATAAAAAAAACAAAATGTTTCCTAATAATGGAGACAATTTTTTGGGAAGTGGTAATCCCACAAAGGGTCACAAACTCTTGAAAATTCATTCCTGTTGGTTTCACAAATGTGAAGCTTCCGTCACCATTTCCATCTCAATCCTCCTCAGAAGTGAAGATCTATAAAATGAGAAAAGGACTTCAAATTGAAATATGATGACAAGGTTCCACAGAGCAAAGAATGGTGGCAGGAGGTGTGCCTGCCCATTTCCACATCCCTGTAACTTCCCAGAGGGAAAACAAGAAGCGTGACAGGCCAACCAAAAGCACATTAAAAAATTCCATCAAGAAAGAAAAGGCTCCACCACCATTACTCCCTACATTGCAGTTGTGCTCTAACTAGTATAGGGAATATAGTTTTTGATGGGGAAAGAGATGTAAAAACTCTATATTCTGTGGGGAGGGGTACCCTTTTGTGGTTTAAGTGCCTCTCACCCTTCAGATCATCCATCTGTTGGATTGGTCTTTTCAACCAGCCAGAAAAGAGCTGATAAGATGAAATGGCCAGAGTCTCCTTCCAGTCTCAGAAGATCCAGCAGGATCATGGTAGGTTCCAGACAAGGGGCATGGAGTAGGCTATACAGACCAGCTATGTTCGAAGCCTTAGGGAGAAGGACTCTTCTTTGGGTCCCCAGTTTTTACATCCTGTGTCTTCTCACAACAGATCAGTAAGTGCTGGGGAAAGGCAGCCAAGATTTGGTTTGCCTCTAATCTAGGCAAAATGAGTAGTAGTGGCTCACGCACAGTCCTAACCATTCCTTGGATAGAGATCACATAGGAGTCTGGGGCCCAAGTTCAAAGAAGTTTGAATCACTTTGAGTACTTTGCAGAAGCTTCGGGATCCCAGACTTCTCCAACTTATTCCATCTGAGACATGGCCAACAAGTACAACATTTACAACTTTGTTCATGACACCCCATAACTCTATGAAAAGCACAAGATGCAAGAGGAAGTTCTACATAGAAAGCATTTATTTGTATTTCCAGTACATCAGTATTTTAGGAAAGCATTAGACATACATTTTTAATGAAATGAGGAAAATTTTAGTAACAGTTGCAATTAAATGAATTTTCAGAAGTGAAAAGAAAATGGCCAATTAATAAGCCTATTTGTGTTTTAAAGGTGAGATTCTGCATTTGTACAAATTAAGATGAAAGATTCTCCTTTTGAATGTGCATTAATTTCTCCTGATTATCTCTTGAAAAACTTCTGAGACAACTAAACTTCTTTCATGTATTAGGTTAATGATGCGGAAAGAATACATTGATTTGAATTGAACTTAACTGTATTCAAAGATGTGGTCCTGGCATGGGTAGGCTCTACCTCTGAACGTCTATTTTACCTTTCCATGAGGCTTATGTACAGAATGTCTACTTATTGCTGATCTTTTCCAGTGTGGCACTGCAATCCCTGTATGCTAAGAATTTATACAGCAGGTGTACCCTGATCCAAGTCTTAACAGCCATAGGTTCTGCTCTTATGTTACCCATAATTCATTCTAAAACTTAGCAAAGACCTAGGACTGCTCTGTTAAAATATTATTGGTGTTTTCATCCTTAGGGAGTAGAGTCTTCAGGAGCATGCTACCTTTCTGTCTCCACTGCTGCTATTCTCTTCCCTATTGCTACAACTGTTTCCCCCAATTTGTCCTTATTCTCATTGTCAGATATCCTCTGCTCTCTCCTCCCCACTTGTGAGTCTATCTTCTAGGAGAAATTTCAAAACTCTTAATACTTGTTATTACTGGTAATGATAAACAGGGAAAACCTGTTGTACCTTCTGAAGATATGGAAATGACAGAGGGGTAAATCCTTGTAAATCCTCAGGGGGCTACTAAAACATGTTTGTTATGATTCTTTTGGCCACATCTAATTGGAGCAAAGGCATTTATATCTTTATCTTTTTCACAGTCTAGAACTAAATTACTTGACCTCTCTGGATCTCTGTTACCTCTTCCGTAAAAGGTCTATCACCAACATCGTATTAACTGACTGACTGATTCAATCAATATTCTGCTGATCCAAGTACTCTTAAACTATTTCAGGTAAAAAAATCAAAGATCTATGTATTTGGGTTCCCTGAGAACCATAGTAATAACCTGTGAATGAAGATATCTTTTTAAAAATATCCAATTAATAAAGCTCTACAAATAATAAATATTCATTATTATTCTCACCTGTGGGTTTCTATTCCCTAAGCTTCTACAAACACCACCTATATTCCACTTAAGATGATCTTTTCTTGGTTGCTTACTGGGAAGAATGACCTATAAAAATACACAGAAGCAGAATGTAACAATAGAATGTCTTTGTGTGGGCTTGTGATGCTACGTGCATTATTTTATTTCTTCCTCATACAATCCTCTGAGAAGGTGCCATCTCCCCAACATTACAACTAAGAAAACTCAGTATTCTTTTAACATATGTGGATTAGAGAGACTTTCTTTTCTCAATGAGTACCCAGAGCTCACAACACATATCTCGACTGTGTTAGCGGAATTAGGAATTACACTATAATTGAATTGAATATGAAAATATTTTGCCCTCTCACTTTTAATATTTTATGTATTCCTACCTTTGCAAAGCATACACTATGGAAGGAACTTGTATTGAGTAAGACTGGTTCTTTATATACAGTGTCCTAGCTTAAACTTCTAATTTTAAATCTCAATTAAAATGACTGATGAAAATATGAATTAATTTACTTTTGACTCCTACAGTTTTAACGTAGAATGCATGGGTTTGATTATGAACATGACAAAGCAGCTGCAGCAACATCTTTTAGAACACCATTTCTACTATTTCCCTTAAAACACTGACAGGGTCCTAAGTTTCTCCAGCAAAGGGGCGTCTATGTGTATGCACATCTCTTGTATGTAGGTTACTCTAAATCTATCAGAATTAGGGCAGTTCTCCTGGTAGCCAAAATTAACTCAAGAGACTATTTTAAATAGATAAGTTCTAGGACAACTGTGTGACATAATTAGAAATAAAATGGCTTAACTATAATTTTATTAAACATTAGAGTCAAAAATTAAAGACTTGTAACAATGCTTTGCTGTGATATATTTCTTACAAATTCTTCAAAATGTTAAGTTCTCATTTTAATAATTTTAACCTCTGATTTTCATCTAGTGCCTATTAGCATATTTAAAAGATACATAAAACTATTTCTGAAAACAGTACTGAAGGGATAAGTCATTAAAAATCCATTTGGTTACTAAATTTTGGTCCAGAATTTTTCTTGCTACTGGATAGGAAACAAAGCTTATCACTTCCTATCCTACACAAATAAAAATACCAATTAAAGGCAAGAGATAGAAGAGAGAGAAGAGGTTGTTTATTTCAGTTACTACACCTTCTGTCACCAATCACAGGGACCAAATGACTCAAGGGTGGGTGAGTCTATGCAGTAATGCATCCTCCAAAAGATAATCACATTCACATTCTCAATTAATAGCACAGACAGGACCATTTAATTTCTTTAACACGAGAAAATCATTTGCACAGTATTATAATAAATAAATATGTTTGTATTAAGACAAACATTATGAAAGAAGCAATTATGAAGACAGTGTCTGTGGCTCTCAAACAGTAACCTAGTCAGCTGGAAAATATTTTCCTAACTGAGGTAATCTTTCTAGGAAAAAAAAAAATCACTTGAATTACATTTTAAAGGTTAGGGTCTCTAAAAATTGGGGGGGAAATGTACAGAGAATAATTTGCTTTCTAATTTTATTCTAGTATACAAACAAGACTCTTTAGGAGTTATGTTAACATAACTCCTTGATGTATTTTTGTCTCTAAATTCCTAATATGAAAGTCATAAATACTAGGCTTAAAACTCCTGACATTTGATCAAAACTAACAGCACACAAAGAAAACTTTTAAATTATTCTGTTACATAATCAAGCAATTATTAAATACAAGGGCTTTAGAATTACAAAGCATATGAAACAAAAATCTCAAAGACCAACAAAGACATTAGAAATTTTTTAAAAAGAAAGATGTTTGAAGCAGAATATCTTATGTCATATTAAACAACTTGGACAAGATTCTGATACAAAAATCTTAACTGAGATGAAGTTGAAAGAATATGTGAATTCAGTCCAGTTTAAGCCACAGTGCACCTAAAACTCATTTCCTTTTCTAAATGAAATAAAACTTATCTGAAAACTTTTAGGCATTTAAACAGCCTGAATTTCCTTTATTTGTCCATGGAATATAAAAAGAACATTCTCATAGCAAGCAAACAAATCTGTGCTGGATACTATTAGTACCTCCTTTATCACAGAATACATCAAATACATTAAGGATCTTTCTAGAATTCTAGAACTTAGAGAGAATTGCTTCACTCAAACTAAGACACACTGCAAAGGAAAATAAAAATAGAATTTCTCATCTCTGAGAAAATTCCTATAAATTTCAGAAAAAAAGTTCATAAAGAAAGTACACCACTTTTCAGAACAAAACATCAGTGCCTGAATCATTTTAAATGCCCTAATGCTTGTAAGAAATTTAAACAAAGGTTTCATTACTCCAGTTTCATGGTACTGTGCCATACTTCAAAAGCAAGTATTTTGAATTTTTAGAAAGATTCTCTTTTCCCAGAAAACAATTATGATGGATATAAGGTAGTCTGTTGGCAAAGGATAAGAAATGTCAGAATCTGTCCAAGTGTAACAAGTATGAAAGTTTCAGAGTTACAGCTGGATATGGGAAAATAAATTTTAGGTTCCAAATTCACTACCATAATTAACCTTAAACAAATTTACAAAAAGCCATGATTAACAAAATCTGGTCACTTTGTAGAAGTAACTCTAACATGATCATGGAATGGTTAAAATCTTTGGGCACACACCCTACCTAGTGCCGTGGCAGGGGCTTCCAGCTCTAAGGCTGGTGTGCGACGTCTACTTTAGCAGATTCTGCAGCATGGCGGTTGCATAGGTGGGCCGCGCCTGCCTGCTCTCGATCGCATTCTGAAGATACTGGATGCCTCCACAGCGTTCCCAGATTTCTTCAAACTGTCTTGGCAAGATCTCGGCGCCACGCTTCCGAGTCAGGCCAGTCTCCTCGAGATTTAGCTCACACATCTCCATGTCATCCTTACCTGCAACCATGGGATGGCAGAAAATGAACAACTGTCTCTTTAGGACCATTTCTTATCAATTTTATTCCTGAAATACCTATCAATTCTCATAGATCTGAGCACTTCTTAAGACTGCATTTTCTCCTTCTAAGACAGAAATCTGCTTAATAAATTCACCAGAAACAACTTAAATTTGTCCCCCACCAAGGACTCCTTCAAAATTTATAAACACTGCAGTTGATCAAACAAGTTGTCAGGGTTAATAGAAATGCCACATTTCCTCAAGCTACTACAAATCAATGGACATAATTAAACGCCAATGAAAAGGTTTTTAGGACACAGACAAGTTTCTGTGTGCTCTACAAGGACATAATTAATCTCAGCAATTCACGTTATAAATGGATTAATCCTCAACGAATTGGAAATGTGATTTAATTTCAAAACTCCATACCTCAACCCTGAAATTTAATGAATTATTATATTATCTACTACAATGTTTGATTCAAAGGGTTTACAATCTTTTTTTTAATATAAATGTTTTTCAGGTGAGTCATACACACCAGCCACAAGAAGGATGGGTGGCTTGTCAGGATGGAGTTCCATTTGCCGGGCAATCCACGGTCCATCAAAATGGGCATACCACCAGCCTTTTTTCTTACTCTGAGGGTCTTTGTACTGGTCGGCAGGGCGGATGAACGGGATGCGAAAGAAGCGCTGCTGTCGGTTCATTTCGATCTCCTGCTGCCTGGCAGGAAGCTGAGCTGCTGGGTTCTGCTGAGCTATTACACAAAACAAGGAAAGTTACACCAGCAACTCAAGGGAAAGGAAAACAACCTTTAATCCTACAATGCACCAAATTTTTTTAAGGGAGAAGAAAGGTTTCTAATAGCAAATTTAAAACAAAATATAAATATTAATTGCCTATAAATGAATACAATTCAGAGTATGATTTCCTAGAATTGTCATTCCCTAAAGATGTTCCTTGGCGTTGAAAGCGCATACACACACACCCCACCATCACCATCACCACCACCACCAGCAGTGATAAACCCCTGGCAGATTTCCACAAATGACTGTTATCAGTAACCTAAAATAAACTCACGTGGCAGGAAAACAAACTCGTATTATTTACTAGATTTATATTTTTCCTCCAATGAGTTCAAATGAAGGTTGCAGAATAACTTTTATTGGACTATTTACAATAAAAAAATGAACAGGATTTTCAGAAATCTGAAGAATACAGACATTTGTCAATTTAATCATAATTTCCACAAAAAGTAGAAGCCATATAAAAACTTTGTTTTGCCAACTGATTTCGGAATTTAAAATGGCCAAGATAACAGATAACAATACTTAGACAACCTCATGACCAAAACAAACAAAAAACCAAAAACCTACCTACCCAGCCCCCCAAAATTCCCTGTAACAGTAAACATGAAATTTCCCTCAAAGATATTTACTTACTCTGAAATCAGATTTCTCTAGGAATAAAATCCAATGAAGCAAGTGGGAAGTATATAACATTTGATTCTCCTCACTAATAGAAAAGAAAAATCCTTGCTTTTCTGCCAGTACTGAGCATTGCACACATATCAATCTTTCTTCCCTTGCTCAATTTTCATTACTGAACAATTAGGTTTTTATTTTATCTGCAAATGTAAACATTTCCCTGGGGCAATGACTTTACATCTTTAGCAGTGTAATTTCAGTTAGCCTGTTTAATATGCTTCATACTCACAACTTTAAAAGTGGATCAACCATTTACTGTGGCTCAATTAAGAATTTCATTGTGAAAATCTAAGTATGCCAAAGAAAAACACATAATATATGTACATGATATAAAAGTCAAGAACAGCCACATGGCTTCTGTAAGAATTTGCAAATACTGAAAGGATGAAAATACTCTTATTCTATTTTTTACACCAAGAAATAGCAGAAGCTTTACAGAAGGTGAATTTATTTATTTGTAAACCAAAGAAAGCAAAAAGTATTTAGCAAAGCTACATATGCGTATGAAAGAATGAGAGGCTCAGTTTTGTTAGTGACTTTAAAAAGCCCCACCCTCATAATACCCTGAAATAAAAAAAAAAAAAAAACTTTTCCTGTTTTAATTTGGGGGAAAAAAAAAAAAGCCGCACTGTCTTTAGCATATGAACAGAAATGTGCTTATTTTTTCTTTTGTTCCTGTTCCCCCAAAGCAACTTACAGTTCAGTGTTTCCACTTTAAGTTTTAAAAATTACCTATTTTGTGGAAAATAAACTAACTCAAAACTAAAATATTTAAAAAGGTGAGGGGAAAAAAACCTTCCCTCCATCTTAAGTAGTAAGTTGCAATTTAATATACAGTCGATAGGAAATTTACTATGATACTGACAGTCATACATTAATTAACCTACTTTATTCCTTTAAAAAAAAATAGTCTTCTGTAACTTAATATATTATATAAAATTAAGAAACTGAACAGAAAGTCTTTGACAGCTTTTCCTACTGTGGAAGAACTGAAATTTTGTTGGGGAGGGCTGGAAACTAGTATCTGCCTGGACGAGTGCAAAGATATACAGACATTAAAAAGCTTGAAACTCATCTTCCAAACAACTTTTTTTCACATCCAGTTGCATTATCTTCAAAAGTATGAACTAAGTTTCAAATGGAGCCCTATAAATTATAAGAAGTACTTAAAAAATCAGGTCCAATCAGTTGACAAATGAATATGACATGATATCCAAATCATATTGTTCAACTGATTCTAGAAGAAACTTACTATACACTGAGGTGACCAAAAGCTTTTAAATTATCAAAGAATGTACATTATAGGAAGCTGTAAAAGTAACAGAATAATCTCCTCTTCCTATTGGAAGGTATCATTATTAAACCTGGCACATTATCAAAACTCAAACCTCTTCAGACAGAAATACAGATACCATCACAGTGTTTGAAACCAACACCTAAAAGTTAGTCTTATTCTAAAAGATCAGCTGCTGTTTTAAGATAGTTTTGCTACAATAAGAATTGTATATACTCCCAGTTTAAAATACTAGTTATTTTTTTAAATGGAAGTAATTTGATTAAAAAAATTAGATTTTGTTTTGCATATGTATTTTGGAGTGATCCAAATAAAAGCATCAACTCCAATTAAAATCTTAGTACAAATAGGCCAACTTTAATGTACTAAAATTCTACTCAAAATTGTAGCAAAACAATGTGTAATAGAAGTTAGTGCTTTATCAAGTATTTTAACCCATTTTCCAGTTAGCTTATGAGTTACCACCCATTGACTTACGTGAATTGTTCAAATATGGTGCAAAATCTGTGAACAAATATTTTATATTGAAGAAAAGATAAAAAGGCCAAAACTGTTAAATGAGCATTTTTCTAATTTATAAAGCCTTCCCATCAATTGAGGTGGTGACTAACAAGTAAATATCCTATCTACAAGCCAAATCCTCTCAGAATTACCTACAAGTGCCGTTTTCTGATTTTTTTTTGAAAAAGGGCTATTTTGATTGTTTTAGGAAATTGTGATTGAGGCATATATGAAGAGGACCAAAATTGAAAAATTATACTTAATTTGTAATTTTTGGACACAGTAATTTCCAAACAAAAACCTAACACGATGATGTAACAGATATTATGGCACCTTTTACACATTACTAGAATTTTCCCAGGAAAACACAGAATAACTAATAAATTAATCAGAAAATTATATGCATTAGAGGAGGAAAAAAAGCATTGCTACTTTTTCATATACTCAGTATATTTTACTTTTTTCAAACTGTCTAAATTTTAAACCCATGCCATTTTTATTTTAGGAACTATAAAATGAAACTATCTTGCAAAATCATTGTTTTAAGCAATTAAATATTACAAATATTTACTGGGTAATTTGCCACTGCCCCAAAAATTATTTCTGAAAATCTCTTTCTGTAGCAACTGAGATGAGAGCATGCTTATCACCAGGAAAAGGGTCTGATGCTCCTTACTCATTATCATAAAAATTCATGATTATTTGTCAATGTACTACTCTTTAAGTCAACAGTATCAAGTTATATTTTTGTTAATCATAAGTTATCACTGTATTTTCTCAAATTAATGAATTCTAATCCTTCTAAATATCAGAGTATACAGCAGTTCCTTTTAAAGGCTGAAAGTTCAGCTGCCCCATTAGGAAACCACCTAAGTACAGAATTCTCTCAACTGAGCTGTTAAGCATCTTGGTGCCCTTCCCCTTTCCTTTTAGCTAAGCTCCTGTGTCACAATGAATTTTATATGAGAAAAAAATAAAAAGAAAATCAAGATAAGTATTTTTAAGAGCAGAAGTTACATTTTATCCAGAAAATGGCTCATAATCAAATTCCCCAAAGGCTAAATATATGTGGATTGTGTTCACATAAAATTCCTAAATTTGTTAATATACCTGATAGGACTCTTAGGAAATTTTCCTAATCTATTCCTTTGTTTTCTCAAATAATATGTTATGAATGGAAACAGTACTTGAACCAATAAGGTGAGCCATGTATTATTTGCACCCTCTTGGGCAAAGCTAGATGAGATGAGTAAGGTATCAAAGTTTGGTTTAAAAATACAAGAAATATTTATATATTCATGTAAATGTGTGTGCCAAATATTACAACATTAATTTCTTTTTGTTTTGAGAAGTACAATCATTCAGATATATAACTTTTGAAATACAACATAATGAAAGTCTATTAAGCTAAAGGTAGTGATTAGAACATTTACAGCAAAATGTATTACACCTAAAAAGAACACTCCATTGCCATTTTTAACAGAACAAAGGTAACTTGTGGTCATAAACTTAGTACACAGTGAACAGGTAATGCAATCATCCTGTCATTTTTTTTTTTTTTAAATCAAAGAAAAAAGTTTTAAACTGGAGAAGAGAGTGGTTTCACACTGTTTAGTGGGGCTTCCATCTGCCATTTCTTAGTTACAAGTGACCTCTCACTACTCTTCCACAGCGTTACATTCTGACTGATGACAGCCCTTAAATAATCTCTGGCACCAGTATCTCCCTTATTATTAACAATATTGCCCTTGCTCAATCTATTCTTTGCCACAGCTTAGAAACACTAAAATTCTACCATTAAATTGACTTTACTTAAACATTGCTTTCACTGACTCAGAAGGTGGTGAGGGAAGCAAAATATAACCAAGGGCTCATTTTCTAAGTCAACTGGGATCATGCATTGCTAAACTACACTACAGTGCTGGGAATATACCCCCTAAAAAGAAGACATTAAATATCTGCTGTCACTTTGACATTAACCAGAATTAAGCTAATAAATTGTGCCAGTTTAAAAGCAGCAAGTAGAACAAATGAAATTCCAAGTATTGCCTTAAAGATTGAAATTACAACTCATTTATCACAGGAATTTTAAGTTAATGTTAATGCTCACGTGTGCTTTTAACTAGGTTATATCTACCCTACTCTGTTTTCCAATTTCAAGTATACAACTTGGCCTTTTGCACAACAAAGTAACAAAATCCATTTTTAGGATCCCAGTCAAAAAATCCAGTTTTGATCTAGGCAGACCTCTGATCTGAACCAAGGTAATATTTTTCACTCTTAGATTTTCACAGTATTATAAAATAATGTTTTCAGCAAATATTCTTCTTCTTTAAACAAAGGAATTAGAGTGTTAATGGAGAATATATGAACCAATTCCTTTCTTTTTCCAGGTTACAATTATATTCTGGGAAAAACAAGAGAGTACTTAAGCCTACATATAAAAAAGATAACAATATTGGGTATTTCAGAGAAATACCCCTAAAAACTGAGCTATGTTAAATTAAGAAATAAAAAAATTAAGAATAAAAATTAAACATGATCCTTTTTAGCAAGTATAAAAATATTCATTTTCATATGTAAAACTCATTTCACATGTAAAGTAAAAGAGTCATGGTAATCTTTACATTTTCACATGTAATCTTGATATACGTGTGGGAAAACTATGTATGCACAATCTCTAGTGTAGACAAGAAAATTGTTATTACTAGAATTCACTTTAAGAAGGAAATTCAATATAGCTGAACAAATATGACTTTAAAGACATAATAGAAATAATGCTAGAAAAGACAGGCCATCGTGGCTGTATTAGGTTTAAAGGATCACAGTTCTACAGTAAGAGAAAATTTATATTGGACATTTTACCCAAATGCCTTATGTACAGTTACATGCATTTATATACACACACTTTGGAACATTCAAAAGTACAGATTTGTTTTTACCATAATCAGTAACAGACTTTGGAGCACGTTGCTCTGTTTCAGTATTTCTCTTCTTGTTCTTGGATTTCCAAGCATGATACACTTTTAGTCTTCTGTGAAATTCTTCTCTGCAAGCTGCCAGGAGCTCAATATCTATTGATTACGCAGAAAGAGTCAAGAAAAAAAAAAAATTAACATCCTAATTTATTCATCTAACATAATTATATAACTATTCTGTGGCATAAACACATATATTTATATTTTTCATCTTTAAATTAATAACACAAAACCAAAAGTAAGCTAATTATTCATAAAGATGGAGCATTTTATGATATTATCTTTTATATTTAGAGAGCATTTTCTTATACACTATTACTATCTTATATCTGCACAAGAACTCTGGACTAAAACATGTCTTTTATACATGAAGAAACTGAATCAGAGAGGTTAAGTCACTTGTCCAAGGCCACAAGCCTTGACAATAGAAAAAAAAGTCATTGTGCTCAAATATAAGCAGATTTCCATGCAACATGTCTTTTAATGTTTATAATTATGCAAATAAACTCAGTATGGAGGAAAAGAACGTAATGAGAATTCTGTACAACTACAATGCTTTTGTTCCTAGTCACAGTGTCTAGAATTCAAACACTGTGATTTAAACAAGAACATAACTATGTGGGATCCTTTGGATACAGTATTTTACTTTAATTGTTCTGCTGGAAGAAACATAGCTTTAAAAAGAAAAACCTACATTGTTATTTGTTACTTTGCATTCATGGACCTAAAGCTTCAGATATATAGGTATTTAACTATTATGAGTAACATTAAGAAGGGCCAGTCATTCATACAGCCCAAACCATAATTTGTCTTTGCTCTTCCTCTCTCACTGGGCAAGAATAGGCAAAATGGATTTAATTTAATAACCTCTTCTTTTTTTAGCTTTGTGAATAAATTAGGTCTTCCTATCAAGGGGAGAGTAACAAAGAGATTAGCAAAAGCTAATTCACATGGCACACTCACGTGCATGCGCGCTCTCTCTAGATACATATGTATATATCTCCCGCTCCAATCTAGGTATTTATTTCATTACCTATCACTAGGGACCCTTCCTATTTTTCATCTTTTATGTGCACTTACCACAAGAAGTATTGATGGTATCACGTAGTTCTGCGTATTTCCACTTACTAAGATCATGTTTCTTGGTACCAGCAGCTGCCTTGGTGGCTTGTACAGCAGGACCTCTGTAATTATTATACATTTTTGCTTATTTAAACCAGAAACATGAAAGAAACATTGACTAAAGGGGCAAGACAGTCTGCATAAGTCGAGAACTGGAAACAACTACTAGAAAAACATAATAATTTTTGTATCTTTGACCGATGAGATTAAGAATAGTGTACTAAAAGATGGTCAAGTAAATTAAAATTTTCCAGCATGCCACTTGATAGTCATATTAGATTTTAAAGTAGAACATTTTATTCCAATATTCTAAAACCATGGATAACCATATTAAATATTAAATTAGAACTTTTGATTCCAATATTCTAGAACCATGGACTTCAGTTTAAATGTTCTTACTGATAGATATATGACCATCTGAAGTTAAAAAATACACTTACATATATTTCTCAAAATCAAAAAAGAAATTCTTAACACACTTAAAAGATCATTAGAAGCACATTAATGGTTTGTTTCTGAGCCATTAGGCCACACAGTACCATCACCTGAAGAGACCACTGAAAGCTACAGATGGCCAAACTCCATTCCCATCTACTGGCTCTGAATCTCCCTCAGCATCAGGGTGTTTACAGGGTACACAAGTGAATGGCCAAACTGCAACCCACTGCATTAGAGTCACTAAAGTAGGCTGAAAGAACTGCTGGAACTTGGAAGCCTTCTGACTTTTTAGGCTTCACTTTTATGAGAACACTTAGAAAAGTTCTATAAGCACACAAAACCACACTCTTATGTTGAATGAGTATGAATACAACTACTAGTAAATTATAGGAAGAGGTTTTAGCTCATGAGGTAGACAACAGAGATTTCAAAGGGTGTAAGTGTTGTATCATGCCCCATTTAGTAGGAATATTTATGGGAAAGGGGGAAAAAAGATCTAAAGTACTCAATAAAATGGGATAAATTCAGCTTTTTCAATATAGTGCTACTCAGGGCTTAAAACCTGTGTTTATGCACATAATTTGAGATCATTAAGCAGAAAATATTGGAACAATTTATTTTCTGTAATAATGAATGTTACTTTTCAGCAAAAAATTACACTTGCACATAGCAGACACTCAGAATAAGCTGTAAGACTTTTAAGCTCAATGTAACAATGGGAGTTTAAACATCACATTTCAAGACATTTAAAGAAGGTGGCACAGATATTAAAATAACTAAATATTAAAGAACTGAAATATTGTTTCTCAGGTATCACAGAAGAAAATGCACCTTTATCATCTACTATTTGGAACATATTTCCTCTGAAAGAGGGATGATCAAGATAAAGTACCCAAAAATAAGCACATACTTTCTCATCATTTTACATTTTGAAAGATAACAGCAATCCTGGCAAGCAGTCAAGACGCACAGACACTCAGTAAGACTGATGTTACTGAAAAATGACGTTTGAAAATGTTACCTTCTACTTGAAGTAAAGGAAATTATTCTTTCAATATGAAGCTTAACAATGAAATAAGGTACC